TCTGTAGATAACAGCATCCTAGCCAGTGAAAGCATCCACCTCTTGGTGTGTTATCTAGAAATCTTAAGCCATTTGAAGACGTTAAGATCTATATTATAATTACTAAATGCAAAGCAACTTGTACAGCATACGATATTATGCAATACATTTATTGATGTTTAGGCATGGTTTGCATACCATATAGTTCATCTTGCCCTAAAAAATCAAATTTAAATCCAAAACAAATACTTTTCTGTCATTATTGAGTAATCACTCTTATCTATTTTAAAAACAATGATGAATTTTCAGCAATGTTTTTTCTCTACTAAATTGACTTTTATCAAATATATAAGTTAAAATACACGATTCTACTGCTGCTTTTTCTTTTAAGCTAGTGTATTCATTTTTCACAGACCAAATTTCAAAAAAATACCTTAAAAAGGGAAATAACTTCTTTTTACTAGTACAGTTAGGAATATTATTAATTAAAAATAAACAGGAAATGCAGATTTGTGATGCCAGAGTTGAAACACAAGTAATCTCTATTGAAGTTACCTTAAATTCTGTATTTGACAGGTTTTTATTTTTTTTAAGCAAGTGCATTTTACTTTCATAAGTATACTAAGAAATTTTTATATTCATCTAGTGGGACAGATAAAAGTATAAGGAAAAAAAAAACCTGCGGCTGAGAAGATTTTGTAATAATTTTTCAAAAGCATGTCCTGCATCTATGAATAAAAATCTGATTTGTAATCCAGACAAATTCCTCTTATAATGATAACTAATGGATGTTTTTCTTCCTTTATTCTTATGCTGAATATAGATCACACTTTCCTAGAATCAGAAGATATAAACATATTTTAATTGTGACCAGTCAAAATATACAAAATCTCTCCAAAGTTATAAATCTTACAATGTCTTGCATGTATGCGCTTCAGAAAGCAAAATATGGTTATAGAGACAGCATAACACAATATGTTTGTCCAAATGTTCTCTTTTATCTGTAAAGGATTTCAATAGCAATGAGATATATTAGGAAAGGAATGTGAAGAACACCCATAATGTTCACAAAATAGAATAAATCCACTGGAAAAAGTGTTGGAAATAGTAATATATGTTCTTATCATGTCATGAGGCTAATGCAATTTGTTATGCTAAATTTAACTTGAATGTTTCTCATTTATTTTAATTAAATAACACTTGAAACAGTGTATGCCAAACGACAAGTAATTTATGTAGTTTCAAGGGAAAAAAAATGTTTTCTGTATAATTGCCTACCAGTGTTGTCTTAATCTCACCATTGCTCTCTCTCGCTCTCTTTTTTTTTTTTTTTTTTTTTTTTTTTTTTTTTTTTTGTATGTTTGTCTTTAAATGTTTGTGAGGAATAAACTGGGGTTTACAGTTTTGAAGAATTATAATGCCTTAGGATAAATCCAAACTTCAGATTTGATCCTGGGTGGTGTGAAAGCTATTTTGGAATCTTTAATTGACTACAGGAACACTTACCAAGTATACACTGTTTCTTGCAAGCATATAGTGATTTTCAGACAAATTTCCAAAGTATTATTCAAGCTGTGTGGTTTTCTACGAGTTTTTTATTTATCAAAGAGCACAGTATGTTAAGACTATTCTATTTTACATAGATATTTACATATCAAAGGAATCACTGTGAGCTTCTTCCAGTAGGGTAGTAGGAAACAAGACGAGACACTTTTCCTGTTAGTTTTCTGATTCCCTTGTCTATGAAAAGAGTGTCTTGTTTCTTTTTTTTTTTTCTTTATGTAAGTTACTTTACCTTAGTTGGAAAATAGCGACTGCGGTGCACCTTGCAGTTGAGCTGGACTATGTTGAGGGTCCTCTGAAGAAATAATACCTTAATCCAGATCCCTCCCACAGAGATATACTTACTCTGTGGTAAAAATGAAGAGTGTCACAGCGTGGCATAGATGTTGAAAACTCCAAGCTCTCTTTTTCATATATTCATCCTTGATTTTGAAATCTGTGTAAACTCAGTGCTGGGAAAGAAGGTAGGCTTCATATTGTCTTTGTGGATCACCCCCAGGAAAATAAACTGTGCCCCTCTTGCCACAATGCAAGGACTGTTTGTGTTCACCCTGTTTTCATCATTGTAACCACACTACTTGGCAGCTGGCTTTGACCTTAGAACCTCAGGTAGTGCCCTGTGATCTAAATATTTTCATGTGAAGAAGGAAGAAGACCCAGGAACAAACTATCAAGTGTGCAGTGTGGAAATTCAGGGTGGTCAGGCCCTGCAATACAGCAGGAAATAAAATTGAGGGTATGGAAAATTATACCGCTTCAGGCATTCACTGAAGTTAAAATTTTCCAAATACACTGTAACTCTCCAGGCCAGGTGAAAGGTGGTGAAAACATGAATGAGAAAGGACAAATTGTTGTCTTCCAGAATTAAGCATCATGTATTTGTGGGTGCTACTTTAGAAGAGCTCAGCATCAACATGGAAGTCTACCTACAATACTACTAAACTACTGAAAGTCTCTAGGGGATCTTATCTTCATTCAGTCTCTATTACCAGTACCCAGGCCAGGACTGGTTAAAATAGCACTGGACATGGTGGCAGATGCAAAAAAAAAAAATGTGGTAGGCCCCAGATGCAGATTTATACACTTTTTTTGTCTCTCTGACAGCAAATATAAATAGCTAAATGAGCCTATAAGCCTATATTTCAGATTAATATTTGTGTGTCTGGCATCACTAAATCTATAAATCGTTGGAAAATTGTAAAATCCTCCTTCTAAATGTTGTGTCCCTTATAAGACAAGGCTTATTTCTGGTGGTTACTGTAACTATGAAACAATGCAGATTTCTGCAACTTTTAAGCAAGAACTAATACAAATGTCCAGAGCTGTACAGGTTGAGAAATATCTCAAAAAACAGAAAAATATTACATATTTATTTACATATTATATTACATAAAGCATTTGCAGGTATTCTAAGAATTGGTTTGGTTTTTTTTAAGATGCAAAACTCCTATATAGAAAACATAATACTTCTATGGTTGGAATGTATTTAAATGCTATTCCACCCTCTTTTGAAGTATACATATTACTTAAGAACACTTTACAATGCCAAATGTTGAGATATTCATTAAGTTAAAAATAAGAATCTGCCTACCCTTGCATTTCCTAAACTGAATCAAACTGTAACATATTTTAGTCTAGTACAATAGATACATAAAACACTGAATAGTCTAAATACCAGCAATGTAAAAGGGTACTAATTTTTCCTTTCTCTTTAATCACGTTCTAAAAGAAATGAAAATTCAAACACAGACAAAATTATTTAGTATGTCAACAGCAATGCTGGCAAAATTCTAAAGCAAATAAAACTAAAAAGCATTAGCTTTTTAATACTTCTGCTCCTACTATGTAGTCTGCATTATATCTATCCCCTGGCAGAAGCTGTTCTTATACAAGTTTTAGTACGAGAAGGAAAAGTAGATCCCGCAGAGCTGTTATATTTCCACTGCAAACTTGGTTAAGGAAGTGGACTGGCAATAACTGGACTCTCATCCTTTGAATGTGCTAGTCTGTATAACCTTACTGACTCATCAAGAAACACTTGCTGTGCCATGAAAAATAAGGGTGTATCACACTGCCTCTCTGCTGGAGTGAAGGAAGAAAGAAAAGAACTGAACCTCTGAGGGGAAAGTGAGGTACAGAGTTTGCAAAAAAATTGTAACTTATTTTTTTCCTTTTCCATATTTTTTTCTGACAAGTATAAAGGTTGTCTCCCTGGGCTCCTTATTTAGTCAATGGAGGAATATATGGTCATTCAGAGGGCTGTTCAGAGCATCTAAGTCAGAACTAGAGTATCTCACTAAGTCAGATGCTGTAAGCATCCTGCTGAGCAACAATCTTCCTGCCAGCAACAATATATTGTGTTGATCTTTGCCCAGATTAGATTGTGTGCTCATAACTGAGGGCCCCCTAGATATTGTTCCAGTCCTTTTCTTTTTCCCCAAGAAAAGTATCATATGTCATTGCTTAAGTTAAGAAAGTATGAGTGAAGTCATATTTCAAGGCCTCATTTACTAGCTGATCCAGCAGCCTGTTCTTGTCCTTCCATGTTCTGCATACTTTATTATTCTGGCTCCTGTCTCCTACATCTCCTAGTTTTCTTGTTTGTAGTTAAAGTTTTGTTTCCTAGATTCTCTACCAGTCAGTTATCTTAGTTTACCAGTGCACCCCGTTTTATCTTATAGGAGATGATAAAAAGAAAGTTGCGGCTTCCAAACTTGATTTCTTTCCTTTTCCATACTTTCTTAAAAAGCAATATAAAAAAAATCATGGGTCTCTTAGTTTAACATACTCTAGGCCTCTTCAAGGGACATATAGCAATGCCCATAACAATTTGTTCTGTGTTACAAATTATAGTACACAGCTGTTTTATTTCTGTTTTCGAGTGACAAATACTGTGTCAGGCACTTTTTAAGACATACAGTTAACCCTCATATTCAAAATAAAGGTGCACATCAAGCACATCCACAGATCACAGGTTTCCATGCGTATTAATGCACATTTTGGATATGTGAGAAGTGAAAGATTTAGTTTCTCAGGTAAATGGAATAAACAAAACTTTTTGTGTTATTTCATGAGGCTTTCAAGGTTTTAGGAACACTCCCATTTTAGGTTTCCATTGAGGCAAAACAGATGACTGGTAATCTGCATTTTTCAAAATGGAAAGTAAGGTTTTTTTTAAAGTACCATTTTTAAAGCACTGTGATTTGACTGAATGTTATTCTTAAATTAGTTATTAATTTAATAGACAGTTCCTAAGGGAGGATTTAAAAAAAAAATAATCAGTTATTAGTTGATAAACAGAACATAGAAAAAAAAACCTGAATAAGCACCTAAGGACATGGATTTATGATTGTGCTATATGTGGACTTTCATACTTCTATTTTTGATTTAAAGCCACAAATATAATTTTTTTGGGGGGGTACAGATAAAGAAAAGGAATAGAATTGGGACAGGTGATAATAAGTTCAGAACTGCTTTAATACAGACAAACCTACAACTGCAAAAACAATATAATCCTGGATATACGGCAATTTAGGAACTAACATATACAAAAAATTCAAAGAAACCATTGATTCAACATATCACAATACATAGGGTTCAAAATAAATTTTTATAAGCCCCACAACAAATGCTGGTTTGAAAAAACTAAACAAACAGATAAGGCAATTTATAAGAGAAAGAGGATTCAGTTAAGTAGCTTAGCAGGCATAATAAGGGAAACTCTTAGTCTTAAACCCTCCTTTTCTCTTAAGCATAACCTATTGCAAACATCTGCAATTTAGGGCTAAAAGTCTAAAATACAATGTGAAGCCAAATAGAATAAAGTTACTGAAATAAATTCTGAGTAATTTAGCTGGTGGTAGAAATAAAGTCTCTTGCACTCAGTGAAGTAAAAATGTAAAATAACAGATGCTTAGAAACTTTTTTTGTTGATAAAAGTTGCATATAACACACATTCACAACAAAAATGAGCCTCTTCGCAGTATTTTTCAAGCTAGCTTGAACTTTTAGTCCCTGCTCCAGTAAAGTCAATTGGAGCTTTGCCCTTGAGTTTGACAGAGGCAAGCTAAGACATTAAGTTTATAACTTTTATATTGTAGACAACATTATAGCTTGTTTACTCACTGTCTACCAGCAAAACCAACATTGATGCCAGTAAGCATTCTTAAATTAAATAGTTGCTTTCCATGGGGATCAACTTGAGTTGTTTCCTTAAATCTGACGAGCATTTGGATGTTTTGCTACTTTACCTTTATTTATATGTTCCTAAGATGTCCTGAATAAAATTGAGCAGCTTGGCAAACTGGCAGAGCTCAGAATATAGATTTTAATTTGTTTTCCTCTCAAAAATATCTACCAACATGCTTTTCAGAGAATTCAGTATTAAAACATTGCTGGAATGTCACCTAATATTGTAGACACTCAAAAAATTGCAAAATTAATGCTTATACAGCAGCATATCTCTTGCTGTGTGTGCGTGTGCAGCCCTGAAAGCATACATGCCTGCAAATAGGTACATTATTTTGCTGTATGAAATGCAAATTTTTTTTAAATTGCTACACTATGGATTTTCTAAGTAGTGTATCTCCATGTTTTCCAATCACACCTTGCTATCACTAGCTTCTGCTCCAGCACCAGGGTTCATTACAGCCTCCTTACTTTCTCCCTTTATTTCTTTGCCTCATACCGTTGCCAGCAGCTCCAGTAATGTTGGCCAAATGCCCAAACCAATAATCTAAGTTGAACTCTGCTGCCTTAGCCTAAAGCTATAGGGATGTCTCAGCACCATGCTCCTCAGGGCTTATGGTTCACTATAAACATAGTCCAGAGTAAGACAAGATGGCCCATCACAGAACAAGGAACCATCGAGGAGGGATTATTACCTGGGCTCCGAACCATGCTGTGTCTTGTCTGGAATATAATTATACTTCAGTACTAACATAGATCATACTGTTTGAGGACTGCTTAAAAAGACGCAGTAAAAATGCAGAAGTTTCCTTTTTTTTGTATTCTTGAATAACTCACAGTGATGTTAGTGTAAATTTTAACTATATACAAAGATGTTGCAAGCATCTTTTTACATTAAATATAAAACATTTAAATAAATAAACTGTACATTCATTTTAGTGTCAGACTTTTTCATAATTTCCTTAGTGTTTTTATGTACTGAAAAACTTGAAGAACTGAACACATTTAAAGAATGTAAATGTGATGTTCAGTGCAGCATCACTTGGATTATTTAACAGATCCAGATGTACTGCTGTTGTAATAAAAGTGTCTGACCTCTTAACTCTGAATTTGCTTCTCTCAGTAAGAATGAAGCATTATTTTTGCGTAGCCTTTGTTATATTCCTCAGAAGTAACTAAAAAGAATCCTTATCCTAACAATACTGTATGTACTGCTTTCCCTCACTACCAAGAACTTCTTTTCTAAATGCTCCAAGCACTGTCTCAGTGCTCCAAGAAAGAACACTAAAAGATACAGAATACAAAACATGAACAGCATCTCAAACATTTGTGTCAAGGCCTTGCACTCTGAAATTTTGTATTGTAACACTGACTACTATGTAACTCATCGTACCTACTCATTCAAAGAAGGTACTGCAGAACTACACAGTAAGACAGAGACACTGATATGAAGGTTTTTGTCTTAATTTTTAAACAAATCAAATACTTCTGTATATGCAAGTTAACTTAAAAATTATTATACTTATATTCTAAATTTCAAACAACACACAATCAAAATAAATCATGAAGATTTTTGCATTGATTCTTTATTTCCAGTTACAATAAAGAGGAGGAGGAAGATACAGTGGAATTGAAAAGCTGGAGCAGAAAAGCTCTTGACACAATTGCATAAATATTTTATTAGAGGGAAAGAGATTTAAATTCTCCCTTGGTAGAACTCAGCTGGGCTACTAAAAGTGTATAAAATTCCTTTCCTCACTTTTGTGGTTGGACTCGATGATCTCTGAGGTCCCTTCCAACCACTACGATTCTGTGATTCTGTAAAGGGGCAAAATGGACAGGTGATGTTTGCAGACCTGACACTTGTGGAATTCCTTCTGAGCACACTTCCGTGGTGCTTTGGATCTCCTGGTGATGGTGGCAGTGGGTATTTCCACATGGGTTGGTGATGGAGGGAGCCTCACCTTGTCTACATCAGTGTTTGGTTGGCCTCCAGAACCATGAACAGTAAGAAAAACTCCTCCCCTCTTAAAGGCAGATGTAGTCCCAAGTTTCAGTGTATGTACATGTAATGCAAAAGAGTTCATTGCCCAAGAATCACTTTCCAGTAATACTAGTAAAGCAGCAACTACATTTAGCAACAGCAAGTTGTAATTGAAGGACAGCGATTCGTATCAGTCCATGGAATAGACTGACATTCCTGGGTCATTCTTCCTCTCCCTCCATGCCTCTCCTCGACCCATTCAATGCTGCTGCTCTAAAACAATCAACTATTATGAAATCTAGGTGCTGTATTAATAATTTAGCATTTTTAGTGACCTTGCTCTCTTATGCTGAATTCTGTTAAGCGCTAAAAGGCAGATATTCAAATGATGAAATGATGGGTCTCGATGAATGATTTGTGAAAAGTAATCACTCATTCCTGCCTTAGGTGTAAAACTGAGGAAGATAGCTAGACCTCAGCCTCAAACTGTTATTTCTTGAGATGTCTCCTCAGTGGATCTCCTCTCCCTATAGTTTGTAACACTTAAATGCAGTTTCATTCTATCAAACATAATTACTTTGATGCCAGGAAGAAATAGGATATAGATCAAATAATGAATTATTATTTTGAATTATAACTTCTCGTATAAACTTTATTATACCTTCCCTGTAATGTATTTTTCAGAACTAATAATGGAGCTTTGATAACTCAGCTCACTTTGACGACAGTAGGTGCAGGAGCAACCACACGAACAGCTCAGCTGACAGGCCCAAGAGGGTGCTTATTCTCAGAAGAGAGATGCTGACTAATGCATGTGAAATTGCTGAAACAAATATAGATGAAAAAGATATATGTGTATATCTTCATACTGGTACATAGCCTGAGTCTTGGCTAATTTAAACCCCACTAAGATGATTTAAACTAACCTGTCTGGCTTAATCCTAAAATGGATTAGGAGTGTTCACACAATCTGCTAATGACGTCCAGCTATTAATCCACTTGAGCTGACAGGTTAGTATCAACCAATTTTGAACTATACTGTATTAGTGGAGAACTCCAAATCCTTGTGATTATTGACTTAATTGGATAAAAAACACTATATCAGATGTTCTGGGAGCAATTTCTTAGACCTCAATGAATCACAAGGCACAGGCAACATGGGCAAAAGCAGCTATCAAATTGAAGAACCGTATGTACCTATTAAAAATAATTTGTTTACTCTGCATGGACAAATCCTGTTGCCCAAGGATACTTCTTTTTGTGTCTGGTACTTGAAATATAGATTGTATTTTGATTTTTTAAGTGTTCAGGTCTAAAGATTATTTATTAAAAGGGACTCCTTTAGTAAATAATTAAGGATAAAACAACATCTACATAACAAATTAGTTCTTGACAAATAAATCCTGTGAAGGGAGTAAAATCGTGTGAAGAGATCTATCTACATAAGGATTACATAAGATTTGCAACCTCTTAGACGAGGTTTTCAATTAAGACCATCTATGCAATTACTGTAGATGCCATTTTACTTGAAGGAACAAAAACAGAATAAGGAGCATAGCACCCCTGTGATCACGGCTCTGAGGGCACTCACAGCCCTGCTTGTCTCTGATCAAACCCCAGGACCTATGGGGGGACCCAGGGTGGAACTTCCCCCAAACTGTCCATGGCCCAGGACCCCACGTCAGGCCCCTGGGGCTGTCAGCCTGTGCAGAGATTTCGCAGCAGGGCCTGTCTCCAGCTCCCAACAGCTCTGCCCTGCCCAGCCATGGGCCCTGCCGAGCCGAGCCAACCTGCAGGCCAATGTCCCAGCCCATCCTTGGCCAGTCCCCATCCCCAAGGAGGTGCCCCATACCAGGGGCTGGGGCTGCCCTGGTGTCACCCTGCTGTCCTGCTCCTGCCTTGGGGGTGGGATGGGCCCTGGTTGCCAGGCTCTACCCTGACAGACTGGCTCCCAGCAAGCGGCCAGCCTGTACTACACCTTGACACCTAGACAGAAATCTCTTTACTAATTCATGGCTATCAAATTACTTCTTTAAGGAAAAAAAGTGATCATTGGAATTGTTGGAATTGTTAATATACTTTAATGTTGGGAAAAAATACATATTAATTGGTAGTATAATAACTATACTTCAGGCATGAGTTAGTTTGCTATTACTTTGCATCTACATCTATTCACGGAAGATACTGATCAGCAAGGACAAAAAGCAGAGATCATAAGGCACTATAAGATTTTGGAGCATAATGTCGGTAGGCTTTAGGCTCCTACTTCAAATACCAAAGGGGCACAGTGGACAATTTGTGTGTACCACTGAATAGAAACATTCTAAAAAAGAAGACCGGATGCCTCTTATAGCACTTCCCAGTAGCGATGTGGATTTTATGAACATTTTCAGCATGTTCAGCTCTAAACTGTTACAATTACAAACCTATTATAATTATCTGAAAGAGTTAATTTTATCAAAAGTATTTTGCTTAGTTGACAAAAGTGACCTTCAGACAGTTTTAAAAAATGAATCCTTTATCCTATTGATGGCCAAAGAATTTTGAAAACCATTAAGAAGCCAGACAACCTTAATGGCTGAGGTGCTAAAGAAAAATCTTGAGAGACAAAAACATATTAAACTGTATTAAGTGTGTGAAAGAAACAAATCAATAACTTTAGCTTGGACAAGCAGTATTTCTATTACGTATTTTTATGCTCAGATATTGCACACGTTGCTGGAATGGTAGAACACTGGCAGGAGTCTACCCTCCATGAAGCATAAAAGAGGAAACAAAACAGCAAGACTGGGTAGAAAAACGAAATGAATGATTATTAACTGAAGCCTCTGATGCAGGTAAGGTATGTTACCAAAACCCAAGTACAATCAAAAATAAATTCTTTATTCCTACAGCTGCTTTGTCTTCAGCTCTCTGCACTTAGTGGTTTGCAAATAATGATGCAGACTAGGATAAAAAAAAGTTTTAGTATTGCAGTGTTATGCTGGCATGGATTGTCTTAAATGCAAGTTGTGAACTTATTGGTGATATTTTCAATTGATTTAGTTCCTTAAAATAACTGAAAAGGAACCAAGTTTTCAATTATTTGAAAAGTTGCCATGTAAAAAAGAAAGATGAATGGTTTTTGGTCAAAAATGTACCACCTTTGTTTTTCAACTGTTGTATTATTCAGGAAAACTGGTAAGTGCAATTTTACTATGCTCACAGTAAGTAATTTTTAAAAAACTTTTCTATAAGAGTTTTCTAGTTCTGCACTTCCAGTAAACCTGCATAATTCATGTGCCTCTGCTACCTTTTGTTTGGTTTATTACCAAATACCCCTAAGACCCTTACCACCCACTCCTTTTTAAACCTTTCAAAGCTGAAGTATACAAGAAGAAAAATCTTCTGAGGGGATATTATTTGAAAATTTCTCCATGATACAGAAACCTTAAACCCTAATGCTAGACATCAAGTATCCAAAAAAGGGTACAATATTATCTTCCTCCAATTTTGAGACACATCAGGCTATGAATAAAAACTCAGCAAAAACTTTTGCAAAATATTGTAAAAGCTTATCAAACTGTTTCACAAGGAGACAAAAATTTTATAGAGTCTTATCAAGATGCTTGTCTTACACACAGTGATTTCTGTACTTTTCAGCTAGAGGAAAAATGTACTTCCAAGAGTAAGCCAATCTTTAAAGCACCTGAGCTCGCTCTTGGAGTTGTGGAAATGATCACTCTCTAGTATAGATTGCAAAAATTATCAAAGCTACCTGACATGGCTGCAAACTATTTGTATTTCAGTTTCTTGCTAATCTTTTCACCTTCTAGGATCTTAGCTATATCCCAGAGGGATAGCTTTATTATTTTTATGGGAGGTAGAGAGGGCCAGCTTTTAAAAATTCTTTTGAGACGGCAAACACAACTCATCTAAAAGTACTAGGGTGCCCTTCTGAAAAAGTTAATTACCATTAAAAGTTATCAAAACAAAAAAGCATGGACTGCTGTAGAGAAAAATCAAAGTGAAAAAGTTGGCTAAAAGGAGATTAAAAAATACAAAATAAAATTACTGTGTCATCAAAAAGATAATGAAGTTTAAAAGAATGATAAAAAAAATCATTTCATATAACACTTTATAAAAAAACGCAGTGCAAGTCAAGCCAATAAAAAAAAGTTTTTGAATAGGAAGTTACTAATTAGATAGTGTTGAAGGCAAAATTAACATTTACATTTTATGATCTGACAAATAAAAAAAAAAAAATTCTCTTAGCTGTTAGTCTGATTTTATCAGCAATACAGGTACAATAGTATAGCTATATTACATGTTATTTTTCAATCAACAGTCCAGAAGCAGTACAGTAGTCATTCGTGCATGGACATTCATATTAAAAAAGAATGTAGGATACCTGATGTATATGCTATAAATGTGTTTTTATGTTTTTGGGAGATACCAGGCTTGCAGGTAACACCCCTAGTATCCATGTAACATGATTTGGACTTGACATACACAATGGCAGCCACATCTCCAGCTGTTTCTCTTCCTGTCGTTCAGTTCAGTCATTGCCAGGTTGAGGTCTTGAGTCCACAAATTCTTGTTCACATCAGTAACTTCCTTAATGTCAGTGAAGGTATTTGTCTGATTAAGCATTGGGAATGACAGGCTTCCTTTGTCCCTTCCAGCAATTATTATTAAATATCTAGAAAAACAGGACAGAAAGCTGTAACAGATGCCTTTCAGTTATTTTTTCATGACTCACAAATTCTCACTTAGTTGCTAGCAACATCTTTACAATCCAAATTTCAAATAACAGGATTTAAAAACTAGAGTATATGATCATAAAAGCCCTTTCTGTTATCAAGCACTATCAATGCTCTCAATACTATATAAATATTGTCTTTAACACAAGGAATTTTCCCTGCCGATCACAGATGATAGATAATAGCTTGGAAGACATTCTGATGGACCCATTGATACCAATGGGGATAATGCTATTTGAAACCTGTGAGACAAGTTCTTTGTTTTGGTTTGTTTTGTTGGTTTTTCATTATTATTAAAAAGACTTTGCAGGAAAATTCCATATTGTAAGGAGGATGTGAATTAAAAGTGCTATATTTTTCAATAATTTTCCTTCTCTTGCAGTTTGTCATTGGGTATGCCTCACACGCAACTGGGACAAATTCAAAGGACATACGTAGCTTATATATATATGTATCTCCAATGAGAAAAATAGTCATAAAAAACCAGACAATTAATTAAAGCACCTCCAATTCAGAAAAGCCATATTAAGTTATCTAATATTAAGCATTGGCACAAATACATGGTGAAAAATTAGGAATGAGGAAAAACAATAAAAATAAGGATGGTGACAAAGTTTGGGGCCTTATAGGCCACGGAAGACACAAAGGTAAAATCCTTGTTTGTTATACCTCACTGAAAGTATAGCCTTCAACACTGGTGAGTAGCAGAACAACTATTAAGCTGATAAAAAAACTTTCAAAGAAACTTCCCAAAAGAACAAACAACGATCATTAGGAATTTTATTGTCAATCTGAAACAGCTGACTGCCGTAAAATGTAGCCATAAAAAAATAAAATATAGCTTAAATCCCCCATTTGCCTAAGCTTGCAGGAAATGAGAAACTTTCACAATTGAAATGTCAACTAATGATGACATATCTATAGTCTGTTTGTGACTAAGTACAAACAGAGTATCTCCTTGTTGCTTCCTTATTTCACGTTTTACTAATCTGTGCTGATAACAATACTATAGCTCACAATGAAAATGTCATTTATTTGCAGAAGCATTTTTTCTATTTGAATGATCCATTGAAATTCTGAGCTTTAACTTCACAGTAAAATAGAACACTATTCCTATTTTTCTCCATAACATTGCAAAATATACTTTGGTGTGCTATTTCCCCTTCATCAATCCCTCTCTGAAAGAATATTTAAGAAATATTTTAAACGTACTAGGTGGACTCTCCCTGAGTTTTATGGCAGTTGTAAATGTCAAGGCTTTTTGCTTGATGCAAGCCAAAACTCTTTGTCTTCTTCATGCCAGATCTTTCACGTACCTAAGGTGCCTGCTGTAATGTGAGAGAGCTTGTGCCTTCTGCCCGTGAAGGATGAAAGCTGGACTGTCATGCTATGCTGCTCTGGGAATTTCAGGCAGCAGCGTGAAACTGTGCATAATGGAGGTGAAAGGATGTGGTTCATCCAGAGGGCATATGTGAGGTCAGAGCCTGGCACTCTCGGGGAATCCTCTTGTGAGCTCAGAGGTGGTATTTTCAGGGAACCCGGAGAGGACCAGTAAGCTCTGTATAGTCTGAATGGTCAGGAGATGTTGTCCTAAGGGAACTTCTGAAAATGCTGTAATTGGGCAGAGTACGTGCAGTCATTAGATCTCTGCATAATAACCAGCAGCTTTACGTCATGCTGACTTCCTATTCACAGGCTGATTAAAAGGCCTAGTGACAGATGAGAGGAAAAGCCTGTGACCAACTCCCTTCATGTTATTTTATATAGCAGCTTGCTATTTTAGTCTGCTGTTAAGACCAGACAGCACTCACCACTTACGTGTTCTCTGACCATAAAATAAAAAACATGATGTACTTACAAAATAAAATTGTATTATTGTATTCTTGAAGATTACATACTGACTCACTAAAATATTTTTCTTTTCAAGGGAAAGGTGGGTTCCACTGAATTTTTCAATTATTTCATTTCCTTTATCAGCTGTTTCTTTGTTTAACAATCTCAGCCACTTCTTGCTGTGAATTTGTACACAGAACTGTGTGTAACAGTTATTTTTATGTCCATAGGTAGACTGGTGAAGAAAACACTTACTGTCATTAATAATTTCTGTTTGTCTAGAAAAGCTAATCTTTAAATCCCTTTTTGAGGGCTGGTCTATAAGCTACTGCATTAAGGAAACCTTTAGTGCTTCCACTTTATTCTGGCTGTTTCTTTGGTGCTATTCAAAGTCTCAATGAAAAGCCCCTCTTGCAGTTCTGCAGTTAAAACAACAAAGCACTGCCTATGTTTCTTCTTTAACACAGCTCTAAGGATTTATTCTTTGCTCCTTTATTCTTTCTTTTTCTGAAGTTTGCTTGTCCTTTTCCCCTTTAAAATCTCTTTATCTAAAGCTGAATTAGTTTTCGCAGCTGGTTGGCAAACTGCCATCATTTTTGCTCTGACACTTATTTGTCAATTTCCAGTTGCTTTCAAACTTTTTACTTTTCTTAGCTTCTATTTCTTTTTCTTCTTTCACAGTTTCAGTGATTCAAGTTTTAGTTGTTTTAATAGAAAGGGAGAGAGAAAAATCCCTCCTGGGAGGGAGAAAAGAAGCCATTCTCTACAGTGACAAAGAGAAAGCAAAAATACGATGAGATTTACCCATTGAAGGCTTTTAAATAACAAACTTTGTGCTCTATACAGATACTTATAATCTGATCCTTCTTTCAGGAAGGTAGCAGGTAAATCTGTTATAGTATTTATGTTCTGCCCTACGAGATAAGAAATTTGTAGATCAATTTTTTAATAATTTTTAGACATTTCACAGGCTACTATTTTGCTTTATCACATCTTAGAGAGACCACTGTAGTTTTAAAACACTGGAGATTAAGGATTTATTTATTTATTTTGAACACTCCTGCAGATTAATTTCCTGACTCAGGGTATATACAAAAATTGCTAACCTCCATTTTAGGATTCTACTCATAAACCTATTAAAACAATTTTTTCAACCTTTACTTAATATATACTACAGATTAATACATTTTGATGAGAACTAGAAAACAAGATAATTTTGATTTCCTTTATTCTTTCAAACTTAACTTCTCTTATGTATAGTTTACTACGGATGTTGAATTTCAAGCATCTCATAGGCTTTTGTACCAGCAGAAATGAATGGAGATAGAAAGAGATCCTATGAACAGTATCACCGTCTTTGATTCTCAGTATAGTGGCTTATTTAGGCACTATGCAGCCATTATTCTGCCCCCTCAAATAATAAGAATAGAATATTTAGCAAAACTGTCAAGGAGTAAGGGCCTAACTATCACATATTTATTTTCTATTCAGTATTGTTCAGTTTTGAATCTCTTGAGCCCAAGGAAAAGGCAGCATAAACCTTCCCCATCAGACTGAGCCCTTTCTGACTACTATACAATTATTATTGCAATTAGTGTTACTAATAATTACTATACTAATTACAAATTACTATTGTATGGGCACTGTACCTTCACTTTCTTTGGAAGTGGAATAGAGTATTTCCCGAGCTGCCAGAATGCAAATAGTAGGTGTTTTTACCCTCCCTGTAGCCACAACTTAGTGGAGTGGGTTAGGGCGCTGCATGTATTGTCACATCTTGACAGTTTGAATAGTTAAAGCAGATGAAAAGAAAGGGCATATCTAAAGAAGAGCTTTCAGTAGCCTTTCTTATATGTGAGGTCCTAGAAATTGGCTGGACTAACTGTGAAGTGAATACTGGCAGCAGCTGTCCAGTAAGTGGAAAAGTAAGTAATGATTACCCTTGTGGTCTGAGTTACTGCAGGGCAGTTCCCAGCTGACTTAAATTGTTAAAAGTTACAGCCTAATTAAACCTCACTTCTAGCATCAAGTATTTCATTCTACATATCTGAGACAATGTCTTGTGTGTGTCTATTCTTGTTATTTGTTCACTGCTCTTCCACTTCCACACATATGGTATCATGCCTTTTTCCTTTTAATTCCTTCTAGGTCTGTGCTTAGACAAATCTTTTGCAGATGAAGCAAATCATATTTAAAGATTTAAAGCAGACCTTTAAAGCTGAATTAGGTGAAGAACCCAGGCCAATAGATTACCTACATAAGTCTAACATTAGACTTTTTAGCTATTTATAAATTAGACTAACTTAAAATTGACCTTTTTGGAAAAGAAATGAGTCATAAAAATGAATATTAAAATTGCACTTAGAATATCATATATATATAATGTATTAATACACATTAAAAATACTAACTTCATGAATTATTTCATTTTATTGCAGAGTGGTGAAGCAATTGTTTCAACTAGTTTATTATTATTTTTTAATCATATTAAGATGTTTTGAACTCGCTTAAACTGGTGTCAATTTTTTTAAGTTTTATGCTAATAAAGTTGATTAAATATATTTAATGCACCAGCAACAACCATAGTAAATCTGTAGGAAAGCAGTATAAAGAGCTTTAAAACACTTGCATACTTAGAAATAATTTTAAAAGTTCTTACATAATATAACTGTATTGGTGAGAACTGTATTCTTATTCTTAAATAAGAAGTTTGAAAAAATTTAGTACAAATTACTGTCATTTTGTCTAATTTGGAGTCTTCTGGAGTCCATTCCTCTGATATATTACTTTTACTTTATTTCAATTTAATATTTTAATTTAGGTGTAAATGATTAGGAAAACACATTTAGCTTCGAGAATATAGAAGCACTAAGTATATGAGTTCATATTTCATGTCATTTTTTGTAGGCCTGAAGAAATTATATTTTAATGAGATAAGTTGTTTTATATATTTTAAGGTTTATTTTAACCAATCCATATGATACCCTGTTCAACTGGCTGAGTTTTTTCCTGTGGAAAAAGCAGAACAGCACCATCTAGTCAAAGGAAATATAACAATATTTTGGTTTGGGGGAGTGGGGAATGGAAACTCCAGATAAGTTTGACTGGTAAAAGCCATAATATAGACTAGATCTGGGCATTTGAGCTTGCAGCCCTACGATCCTTTTAATGTAATTATTTTTAAAGTAATTTTGTATTTTTTTTTTCCTAACCATGAAACTGGAAAGAATGAAGATTCAAAGAGAACTGCATTTTGTGCTTTTAAACAACAATGTAACAATAAGTAATAGGTTGGTAATATCTGTGTTGACTTAATTTCTCCATACAAACTAATTTTCTTTTGTCCTTGCTCTGGTCTTCATAGTCCTCTCTCTTTAATACTGTTTCTTTATCAAGCCTCCCAAAGTTTCCTCATTGCAGTTTGTCTTACATTGTCACTCCTTTCTTGGCATAATCTTTCCTGCCCCACCTCAGTGTTCAACTTACTCAGTCTCTGATGATTTCAGAGTTCTGCAGGTCAGCTGACACCAGTCCTTTTACTAACCCATTTCACTTTCTCCTCTTTCACTTTCCAATCACACAGAACTCTTACCCCATTGCTTTTTTTTATTGTTACTCAGTCTCACACTTCTTACCCATATGATCCCATTTCTACTCCAAGTTCCCAGATTTAGTCACCAGGGTTCTTTGCAAATTCGTTTAGTTGGTTAATTCTAGAAGAATCATTGATTATATCCAGTGGAGACACTTGATTCGAATACAAATCTGCAACACATTTCTGGAAGAGTAACAAGAAATATTTGTAATAATTATTGAAGACCTATTGTGAAACCGGGTAATTTCTGGAAAAAATCAGTCAGTTTGTTTGCCTGAAAGTGGTCTGCTGTTTTCGTGTCTAATAAAGAAAAGAAAAGAAAAGAAAAGAAAAGAAAAGAAAAGAAAAGAAAAGAAAAGAAAAGAAAAGAAAAGAAAAGAAAAGAAAAGAAAAGAGAAAAAAAGAAAAGCAGCCTTAAGGCACTAGTATTGTGATTCTGCTGTTGACAGCAGAAATAATTCTGGAATTTACAGATGCCAACAAAACCATCCAACCACATATAAAAGTATCAAAAAACCACTGTCAACAGAGGGAATCTCTAAAATATGTAACAGCACCAAGAAATGTTTTCCAGATTTTGAAATATCACATACTAAAAATGTCTACCTGCCAAAGTACTGCTCTAAAATACTCTATTTTACTTCCAGTTTTTACTCCCTGGACAAAGCTTCCAATGAATAAAGTAGCTTCTCTGCTCCTTTTACCCTCTTTAATTCTGAAATAGCCTGTCCTGAATATATAAGCCAAGTCTTTTGTCTGTCTAATCAAGTCACAGTTTATAAGAAGTCTCCAGCATTTCAAAGGAGAATAAAAAATACAGATTTTTCAGTGCATATTTCTGCATTGTCTGGGACAAAAATAAAGAAACAAGAAATAAGCTGACTTCTTTTAACAGAGGGATTCTGATCTCATATCAAACTCAAGTGGGAAGGAAAGACCTATAGAAGGCAGCAGAGAAAGGGAGAGGGACTCCTATAAGAAGCTAGATTTAAGAAAGCAAGCATGTACACATCTTAATGGTTGTTTTTTTTTTCATCTGATCTATAATGTCTGCAGAATTATCTACTAGACAAGAAGGAGAGTTGTACACTGTGGTGTATCTTTCTCAGAAAGGTTATAAGTTCATTCAGACTAAGAGAAGCTGAGATAATAGCTGGTTTAGGGCCAAACCATTCAAATGTTGATGGAAACGCATTTTCTATCTGAAATAAAGCACTGATAAGGCAACATTAATTCCCATTACAGAATGTTTCAAATGAACTAGCTAAGTAATTTATGCTCAGAAGTCTCAAAGGAACTAGTGAATCATTGCCAATTTTTAACTTATCTTGGAAAAGTGGGAAACAGTGAGACCTGCAAACATTGTCCCATTATCCAGCAAAGGACGTAACACAGAATAACAAATAAGCTAGCCTGACCCTTCAGTTGAGGTCCAACAATGGATCTGTTACCTTGGAACTTTGCTGGTAATGAATTAGAGACTACAATTATAATTGTTACTAGTCAGATAGCTTTTTTTGTGAGATCTCTTTCTGTTTGATTTTGTTTTTGACTGGAGAACAGGTGTGGTAAACAAAGTATGTACGTGCACTTGGACTTAGATCACTTACTAAATGTAGTGAAGGTTTTTTAATTCAAACACTTCCATTTTATGGAATTCGCAGGTATGAGCTAGAGGGATTAGAAACTGTTCTTTTGATATTGATATCCAGGATCTTTTGGATATTTTTCTTGTTCCAGTTCTAACCGCTCTCTACATATATTTTATGGGCTTCTAAGTACGGTTTCTGAATCCTTGAAGGGACAGGCATGGAAAAGGTTAAATATAAATTGTATGCAAAAGTAAGTCAAAAGAAGAAAGCTATTGTAACTTGTTTAGATTTGTTACATAATCCCCCAGGAAACTGGGAATTGGGGGGGATGAAAGATATCAAAGTTGTTAAAAATTACCTAGCTTCATCAGTGAGTATCGTACACACTTTGAGAATTATCCAAAGATTCATAGGTTATTAAAAAATAAGGGATAGGTTACTATTATGTTAATCTAAATCAAGTTATTTAAATGGTTAGAATCCAGAAAAATCGATTTAATACAGCCAAATGAAGAAGAAAACAATTTGAATTAAAGAATTATATCTGTTTATATCTATAGAATGGCAGAAACTGCCTTAAAAAAACAAAAAAAAACAATTACTAAAATTAGGTTTTAAGTATTATAATAGATTGCATCCTCAACTTGATCTTTGTGTGCTTTTGTGAAAAGAAGGCTAACAATATATTTGAATGGATAACAGAAAGGAATGGAGATGGGAAATGCTGGAGAGGATATGCCAAAAAACCCCAAACCCAACTCCTGCCCAAACCAAGATCACATGGCTGGGAATTTTGCATTATGGTGTGAGGAGTAAGTAATTAAATTTATCTGGTACATTGAAGGGATGTTTAAGTGATGGGTTGCTAAATGTATATAAGTGTTTAAACATGGGAATTATATCTGACAGCACAGAGCCTTTTGACCTTGTGGTCAGAAATGGAACACACGCTAATTACTGGGAATTTAAATCAAAATAATTCTTCTAGAAATAATTTCAGGGAGACCTGAAAGGGTCATGGTCCTCTTAAAACAAAATTAGGTGCACTTTCATCTAACTTGTGGAAGACATTCTACTAGTGGGAAGTATACAGGACCACACTGAAAAGTTATGGTGTCCTTTCTGGTCTTTCAGGGCAAGACTGTTGCCCCGCATTTTTGGGCTTGGAAGGAAAAGTAGAGAAATTTAAAGTTATGGAAGACTTGATTGCCCTCCTCAACCTCATCTTTTCACCTCAGAGCAGGGCAGAATGTATAATAATGTTTCATAATTTAGGCCTTAAAATAATTTCCTGTAGAGTCAAGATGTTTTTGTTTCACTTGATGTATATCTGTACTAATATATTGTGGTTACAGACTGTTGATTTTTCCTTTTCTCTAGGGCACAGAATGGTGATGGTTAGAGAAAGGATCACAGATACCATACTGTGAGAAGGAACTCAAACTCATTGTTGTCTTCATTTCACTTTGCAAAGGTTTCTTCCCATCTTGCTTTGCAGAGCACCGTGGAGTTTCATTTTCCTACTAATCATGGATACCGCTCACCCTTGTCACATCTAGTATAACTGATTATTTTTTCTTCAAGAAGCTGGATGCTTTCTAACTTTTACTCAGGATACATCTACAAGGGTCTTCGTCTTAGTCTGACAAAATAAGTGCAAAATTTCATGACTTGTGATGCCAGGCTAGATGATCTATTTGTGATTTTTAAGTAAAGCATATTAAAAATGTAAAGCAAATGGATAAGCAATCTGCATCATTAGGAATAAATATATATATATGGATTTATTTTAATAAGAAGGAAAGCAGAAATATTTTAAGATTGTACTCTACAAGATGTTCTTCACTGTTTTTTTAAGGATAAAGTTTAAAACTATCATTTTATAAGCTTTCTCTCTGTTGTGACAGGATTACTTCTGCACATCTGTAAGTAAACCAGAAAAAGGTTTCTTTAAAAAAAGGTCTGACAACTCAGTCCTCAAATATGAAAGAAAGAAATCTATAGATGTGACACAGGAATTCAGTAGCAATGCAGAAGCACCTTTTTGTCTGGAAACCTTTTCCTTTTTATCATCTTCAGATGGTTTCTTCTGGCCCTTAGTGACATATGCAGAAATTGAAATAGCAGAACTGAACAGCCAACTGCCAAAATTATTATCCAGCTGCTGGTACTGAAGAACCAGTGTCTTGAGGAATGTGCAGTTACTTTATAAGGCAATATCCACAAAGGGAACCTCTCCTAATCTTAGACAGCGATTTTTTTGGATCATGAGGTGAGATGTTTTATATTATTTGTGATCCTTCATACTACCATAAAAGTTCTTATAAAAGAAAAGCAATTGGCAATCTCTTTGAAATGCATTCAGTTCAAATCCTTCTTCAGATCAGATCTTGTCCCCATTTAACACTACAGGCAGGAGAAGCTCTATGAAACTTATGTTCTACCTCATGAAACCTGATGTTTCTGCTGTTACTTTGGTAGCCTTATTGGACAACAGTTATGACACTGAACAGCGGAGACAGTCTATTGCTGAATTGCATTCTGGCCTCTGTATTTGTTTCCAAACAAAGGGAGAAGAAGGGGAATATTGTTGAAGACCTACCTAAGCACCTGCTCCTTAAGTTATAGGGCTGCAGGAAGTCTGCCCTTCCTCAGCCTTATTATTCAACTTTGTGTGGAAAGCTTTGTTTAGCTGTTGTCCTGAATATGTCTTTTAAACATTTGAGTGAAACTTTATCAGGTATGTGGTGCATATTAAAGGTTGGAGGCCAAAACTGAATTTTTGTTAAGTCTTTGTCTTTTTTGTGTAGTGTACACTGCTTATACTCGTGGTTATTTAGTGGCGGCGTTTTTAAAATAGCTATTTAAGATGGTAAAATTATTTTATTTTGGGTGGCCCATGAAGTGTGATTGTCCACACAGGGAGACTCTGTGACACATCCATGGATGGTAGGTTGGTGTGTTGTAGACCTGATGCAAGACTTGCAAGATGCAGGAAGGATGATAGTGATGTCAGCTGCGAAAAAAGCAGCCTGGAAGTACAACTTAATTTGATGACTTCACACTAGCAGTCTATAAATTTAATTTCCTCTTTCATCAGGCTGCCATTCAATAATCCCTTTGAACCAAGAACTCCTGATTGTTTAAGCACCCCATAATTCCTCCTTATCAATATATTCTAGACGCACTAAAACAATTGCTATGCCTTCTTGGAGAAAATTAAGATTATTTTGTCTACAAACACTTTTATCCAGACATCATATACTCCTGTTATAAACATTTCATAAATAAGCAATAACATTTGATTTTGTGAAGTATGAATTTAAGTGTTTATTCCAAGCAGAGCAAAGATAAATTGTACTAGTTTCCTGACTATATTATTTCTACTAGAAAATGGATTTCTAAACAAGTGCAGTACCTTAATGTAAAATTTATTTTTTCCTTAAAATTCCAAGTCACATAGTACTATTTAGTGTTGTTCTCCAAAGGAAAATTTTTCACTGTTATGAAATCACTGCTGTATTCTTCTACAGGAGTATAGCCCTACCCCAGTTTTTATGATAATCATAGTCCTACACACTGGAACTAGCT